TTTAATTTCTTATTATTTAGAGAACCTTTTTTTCTTACTAAATGCTTTTATCAAGTAATAATTATAAAAATGAACTAGATTAATGATAGGTGAAACTATTACTTTATTTTATTTATATAAGAGACTTTCTTCAAACATTATTTTGTTAATATCATTATCTCTTATGAAATTAACTACCAAAGTTTTCTATTAGTTAAACATTCATAGAATATTAGTGATTTACCGTAAGGTATATCCTAACATACTTTACTGTCCTTTTCTTTTTATTGCTTTTGTATTATAAGTTAAATTATTTTGATCTTTCAATCTAACTATTTTAATAACCAGGTTTATTCAGTAATTATTTGATATACTGTAATTGGCAAATATGACAAAGAAGAAAAGAATTTAAGTTACAATATTTTTATATTTCTATAATAACTTTGTGAAAGAATATATCAGACATTAAGATTAAAAACTTTATTTATATTTAGGATGTATGTGTTACATGCTTCACAAATATACTGATTTTGATTACCTTACTATTTTCAACAATACACCTGATTTTGATTTCTTCACTATTCAATATTATGCATTCTAATTTCGATTGCCTTACCACTTTTAACAGTACATCTGATTTTGATTTTTTCACCATTTAATATTATGTACCCTGATTTTGATTTCCTCACCACTTTTAGCAGTGCACCTGATTTCATTTTTACCACTTTTAACAGTACATCTGATTTTGATTTCTTCACTATTCAACATTATGTATCCTGATTTTGATTTCCTCACCACTTTTAGCAGTGCACCTGATTTCATTTTTATCACTTTTAACAGTACATCTGATTTTGATTTCTTCATCATTTAATATTATGTATCCTGATTTTGATTTCCTTACTACTTTTAGCAGTGCACCTGATTTCATTTTTACTACTTTCAACAGTACATCTGATTTTGATCTCCTTACAACTTTCAGCAGTGCATCTGATTTCGATTTTTTTACCATCAATATATGTATCCTGATTTTGATCTTTTCACCATTTTCAGTAATGTATCTGATTTCTATTTCTTCACCATTCAATATGTGTACTGTAATTTGATCTTTTCACTATTTTCAACATCATATTGTGCACCTAATTTTAATCTTTATACCTTTTTAATATCATATGTTTGTTAAAACAAACCAGAGATATTTAATTTCTCTCTTTAGGTTTAAGATGAAGGTAAAATAATTGACCTCTCTAAACAGCAAGAATTTGAAATTGATTTTCAGGGGAGTGAAAGTAAAGTTGTTAGCAAGAAAAAAATGAAGTAGTATGGTGAATCAGAATCAGGCATGATATGAAAATACAAGAACAGATGGTAAGTTTTTTGCAAATATGTAATAATGTTTTGGGGATAGAAATAATGTATGTTGAGAATTCAATATAGACAGAAATTCCTTTGCACCAGTTGATAAACACTCAAAACAGCTGAACTTATTTATATAAAAATTTGGCAATTTTTGACTGGATGATTAAGAAAAAGAGGAATTAGGGAGTTCTCAAGCATCTCCTTCAATGTGATTGAGATGATGCATGCATCATGATCAATTTAAATAAGGATCACAATTAATAAAAAGAATAATAGAGCTAAATGAAGGAAAATGGCTTGAACGATCTCTTTTTATACTCAATCAATGGTAAATTTTAGCCAATCAGCGTAGCTCTAATTTCATCGAAATGGTAACTCATTTGATCTGAAAAATCAATCTCCAATTAAAATTTCATTCCGATCCATTGAGTTAGGTGCCCTTAGGTGCTTGAAATTAAGTATATGCAGTATTTCTTCTATCTCTATTTACTAGGTGATTCTAATCATCAAGTAGTCGAAGACGTTTATTATTAATTTTATAAATAAAAATGTTTAGAAGAAAATTACGTCCTTCATTAATATCTTTATTAGTAGCATTTCTACTAATTTTATTTGTTGCGTCATGAAAATTACATGAAATGCAAATTTTGTTGTAGTCCAAATCTCATAAGGATTAACATAAATTGAAATTCTGTTGGGCCGTTTTATGTGGAGAAGGATTTTATGATGAGTTTCATGGTATTATAGCTTGAAGATCATTTATTTTTTATGGCGAATGAAACGCATTCAAATTTATTTCTATTTTTAATAAAAAGGATATAATATAAATGGATAGATAAAGTCAATCAAATTAAATACGATGTAGATTTTAGAGAAGTTCTATGGTTAGATGTTTTTCCGCTCAAAGAAGCAAGTAAACATTAATAAAGAATGCCTTGAAAACATGCAATAAAAAAAGTCTAGTGCTAAATTTCTAATTAAATGATCGACAAGTGATCGTGATAAAGATGCCGCATGACTAAAAATTTTTTTTTGTCACTCATTTTCACAATGTCAGACGACCACATAAATGTGCCATTCTTTAAAAAGAAAACTAGATTAAATGTAAACCTTAGAAAACGTAAAAAGTCACCTTCACCTGGTGTCAATGTAGGAGAAGAAGATAATTCTTCAGCCGTGGTAACAAAAGAAAGAAAACTAGACACTTCACATCCTTTTGTACAGGCTTCAAAAAAAGGAAGACGTGTTACCAGGGAAGAAATTAGTGACATGTATATTGCTAATAAATCTGCTGTCACTTCTGCTTCTGAAGATATTGCTACTAGGACTGCAGAATGGGATACTGAAATAGATAGAGATGCTCAAGCTTTATTGGAGAAGAAATTGGCCGCCGAAGAAGTAAGTTTTAAAACTTGTCTTTTAATTAAGTATATACTATTAATTCCTTTTACATAATTCAGGCACTCGATGATAACCTTTATAAAGGGGCAAATGCGTATAAATCCTATATCAAGAAACGTGATACGGCTGCTGGAAGTGCCGCGAGTTCAAAAATAAAGTATGTTGCCATTTTTATAATATATATATATATATGCTGATAGATTTTTTTTTATTTCTTATTATAGAGCTGGGCCAATTCGAGCACCATCAAATATTCGGGTAACTTCACGATTCGATTACCAACCCGACATATGTAAAGATTATAAAGGTATACGTGAATTCGTTTATATAATTCGTTTAATTTAGATGCTAATAAATCATTCATTTTTTAGAAACGGGATATTGTGGATATGGTGATTCGTGTAAATTTTTACATGATCGAGGTGATTATAAGAGTGGATGGCAATTAGAAAGAGAATGGGAAGAAATGAATGGAAAGTTGAAAAAAGATCCAAATGCATTTCTCGTGGGGAATAGTGACGAAGAGAGTGAGGAAGAATTACCATTTGCCTGTATTATTTGTCGACAAAATTTTAAGGATCCTATCGTCACACAGTAAATATATTTTTTTTTTAGTGATTGTTTATATATTTTTATTATAATGGTCATCATTGTGATTTTATTTTAATTATTATTATTATTATTTTTTTTTTTTTTAAAAAAAAAAAAAAAAAGATGTGGACATTATTTCTGTGAACGATGTGCTTTACAAAATTTTTCTAAAAGTCCAAAATGTTATGCTTGTGGGGCTTCAACGAATGGCATATTTAATACCGCGAAGAACATATTACAAAAACTTGAAGATAAAAAGAAACGAATGCCTGAAAAAGGAGAAACTAATGAGCAAGATGAAGAAAAAGAAAGAAATGAAAGTGACGAAAATTCAGATGATGATGACGATAATGATAATGAAAAGAAAATACTGATTAATAAATGACTAAATAAGATAGTAATATTAAATTGTAAATTGGTTTTTTATTCGGTGAATTCTAATTCTAAAACTTCTATATCACTACCACGTATAACTACTTGATCATAAATTCCGACGGGTGATTCCCAATTTTCAAACCGAAATTTTGTTTCGTTCGCATCCACTGCTTTAAATGTTCCTTTTATCACTGTACTATTTTTCGAGTTAAAATTTTTATTTACAATTCCTTACGTAATAATGTATACAAAAAAAAAAAAAACGAAACTCTACATACTTGTCATGAAGTCGGGCTGTTGTATTTGGTTTTCGTTTATTTGCTTCCAACCAAAAAAGCAAAGACCTTTGTCGAAGTAATGTTTTGATCTTCTGGTCATTATTATTTTCTTGAGAGAAGTGTGTTAAAGTAGTGATTTGTTTGCCTGTCTCATCACTTTTTGAGAGTTCCATCAAAAAAAAAAAAAGTTTAAAAAAAATGTAAAAATAAAGATCGATAAAAAAAACGATCACTTTGATATATCTAATATTTTAGATAAAGTTTTTTTTAAGATCAAGTGATTTGGAATTTATTTATAATAAAAGAACAGATTCTAAACAAAAAAAAATTAAATCTAAAGGTTTAAATAATGACGAAGTTTACAGGAAATCTAGTAAATAAAGATAATAAAAACCATCCAGAAACATTAAACTTTGTCGATAATGAAAGGATTATCGGTATATTATTCGAATTTAACAATAAATGCTATATCGATAATATTGATATATCATCCAACAATTTATTTTTCAAAAATAAATATTTCCTTTTTCTAACTCTACCAATTTCGCGGGATGATCAAGTACATCCATTACAAAAACGTTCACGTAAAAGAATTTAATTTTATCATTACAAGTATTATTATTTATTATTCAAGAATAATAATAATAAAAAAAAAAGGTATTTCACAAATATAAATTTTTAATAGACCGAATAATCTTAATATAAATTTTTTATATTATACAATAATAGTTGACTAATTTTACAGGAAATATGAATTCATTTTGTATTAATGAAATAATATGAATTATTGAAATAAAGTAATGAAAGAAGTTGCATATATTAAAATAATGATATCATTATTTAGTATAAGATTTCATACCAAAATTGATTCTAATTATCCTGACTTCTATCATGTAGAATTGCTTAATATATAACAGATTGCGTATTTTGTAATTTTTTTTAAAAGACACAAACTTTTCTTTTCTTGTCTGCTCGTCACCACGAGAATTTTTATCACGTGACAACGTTAAAATTTTGCAATTATTGATCGTCGTTATCATCCTCATCCTCATCCTCGTCACTTGAATCAGAATCATATGATCCTTCAGATATGTCATCATAATGAGTTGTTCTAATAATTGGTTTGGATTAGACCAATGAATTTTTTAACGGACATTTTTTCTTTACTTACTTGGATCCAAGATCCTTTTTGTCTACAGTCTTGTGTTGGAATTTCTCGGATAATGCATGTATTCGAATTTCCTAAATATTTGAAGTATTGAAAGTATCCTTGAATATAATTACAAAAGAAATATAAATATATAATTCAATTGTGCTACCTGTTGTAACCTTTCTTGACATTCTTGTAATTTAATGGACTCTTCAATTGAAATTTGATTTGCTTTGGCACTTGGGTTATAAAATCGGCCTTTTTTTTTATTCCCAAGCGAGACAGGAGTTATCTTTGACATTACACAAGTTTGTTTTGCGCCTTCCTCACAAATGTTCATCTTGCTTATCAAATTTTCCAATTCACTAGTGGAGGTTGAAAGGTTTGATTCATGCTTCTGAAGTAATTCACTAATAAGTTTATTCCTTTCACGAAGTTTTTGCCCTTTATCGGCTAATTTTGAAATGATCTCCCTAATTTTAAATAATAATAATCATGATTACTTTTAGAGAAAGAAAAAAAAATAAATCGGTTTTTTCGAATTGGGAACCCTTACTCGTTTTCTAGTAATTTATTATTTTTATCCAACTTTTCCTTCAATTCTTTCGGTGAACAAGTCGTGAGAGCTTTCATTTCATCGACATTTTTAACATTTGTGTTAAAAATCGATCTTTGCATTGAAGACGAACCTTTTTTGTAAGAGAGTGATTTCGGGACATCTAAAAAGTTTTTCGATGATTGATTAGAACATTAAAAGTGTTGGAAGAATTACAAGATCCTTCCTTAACTAAACCTTTCTTAGGAAGAGGCATCCTTTGGAAAGATCTAACGTGGGACTCTAACTAAAAATAAATAAAAAAAAAAAATAATAATAATGGGGGGTAGAACATGACACTACAAAAAATCGACATCATGAATTTTTAATTTATTTATTGATCTTCGGTTCGTGTAACATTACATCATCAAGCGCGTCTGAGGAAATATTGCGCTTTTCCGAATTAGGAGATAAAAGTCATGACGCGTGAATTATCCGTTCTTAAAATTTACACTGCCACTAAACTCATTTGCCACAATTTTTTTTTTTTTTTTTCGCCCAACTTTTTTTAAAGAAATCAATAAATGCCATCAAAATTTTGGAATTTAAAAATTCCCCAGAGAGTGTTTCTACTTTTTTATCATTAATACGACAAAATATGCAAGTTTCATCAGAATATCTTCATCAATTTGATATTCTTCAATTTGGAACGACGATGCATGAAAAGATAAATGTATTTATTTATTTATTTATTTATTTTCGTTTGTTTGCTTTGTTTGAAAGGAAAAGAAGATGAATTTTTTCCAAAAACAGCCAACAACAAAGAAATAAAAGCTACATACTTATGTACTTATTCACCTTTTCAGCCATCGAATTTGTATGAAATTAATTTAAAAGACAATGATAATGGTAACGTTAGTCAACCGCTTACGACAAGCCAATATATGATTGATGGTCATCATATACAACCAAAATATTCCACCAACTATGCGGAACTTCCAACTTCTCACAATAAAGAACCTTCTCAATGGCTACCTAAACTGGACGATGTCCCACTTTTAGAAATCGAGAATCATGCAAATAATGACAACCTTTCAGAGCTTCCCAAAAGGGAAAACGAAGCACTGGAAACACGTGTCAATGCATACGATAATAATGATGTGGTTTCCGAAGAAGAGATCACGGAACAAGAATTATTCAATAAAATTAATGAGATTATGAAACAGGAATACGGAAAAGCAAATAAATCGCATGTCAATGAACCATATCAATTTTTGCCTCGCGATTATATAGAACGCGTTCGTCAATCAGATGAATTTCAAGGATATGAAAAACGTGCACCGTTTAACCATCCTCGTTGCAGAAAGTGTGAGAACGTGAACAGACATCGTGGCAAATTTTCGCGTATGAGATACGTGACAATTACAGACGATCCAATTCGCGAGGTATATTTGATATAAAGAGTTTATTTTAATTTATATTCTGACAAATTCATTAACTAGAAACAATTTTTAATTTCGTAAGAATGAACTTAAACCTTTGATACGTAATCAATTCACGACATCAGAGAACATGCAATGCGATGAACAAACAAGTGGACACGGGAATGGCGTTTATAATCCCACGTGCTTGAATGGTGGGAGCACAATTAAAGCGGCGTCATTGGAATATTGGGGAGATCATTCCATTGATAGCGTTGAACATTCTTTGACGCAATCAAATGAGTCGGTGAATTGGTTTCAAAACTTTAATCAACTTCATTTGCTTAGAAATAACACAACTAGTCCTAATCTGAGACAACGTAATCGTAATGTGAAATTTTTTATTTAAATAATTTTCCTTCGAATGAAGGATGAATAATTAATGTTAGGATTAAGGATTTAAATTATTTCATTTCAGCATTTTTAATCCATTCATCATGTTTTTTAACTAATTCAGGAATTATTTTTGATTCAATCTCAACGTCATCTTTTACTTCTTGTTCAGATAGTTTTAAATTAAATTCAGAATCTTTCGTTATAAATACTACTTCAAGTTTTCTCGTAGTTAAAAGGTTACCAATGACAATTTGATGACCATATTTTGTTAGGGCTTGCCTTGATTTAGAAACTAATAGGGAAGGATCTGTTTCCAACTGTATAATAAAAACGTAAATTATTTTATAAATATATTTTCATATCAGGGAAAGAAATGATTTATGACTACTAGTATCCAACCTTAAAAGAGACAATAAATCCTTCTGGTACCCAATTTGTGACCAACGGCTTTAGAAATTTAGGCACTTGATCCATTGAGAGAGTTAAACCACCTTCTGCAGATTGGATCTTATGCTGAACCTTTAATTATATTCAAAGATTTTAGCATAAATAAATAAATGAAATAAAAAAAAAAACTATCAACATTTTACCATTTTCTGAGATGGAATAAAAAAATCGCTAACAGCAGCGGCGAGATAATACATCGCGCGCTCTTTTAAACACGTCATAATCTGCGTAACGCTACGAAGAAGAAAGAGATAATCTGATAAAGTAACGAAATTAAGTAACAAGAGTGTATCTTCTTGTTTTACCTGATAATAATATAAATTATTAATATAAAGAGTAATGTATTTAAAAAGAACAATTTTTTATATAAATCATAACTCACTTTTTGATATTTCTTCAATACAGATTTCATTTTTTGAGAATATTTTGGATTAACTATTTAATGATGAATTGATTTTTCTTTAGTAAAATGTACAATGTTTGATTCGATTGCATTGATTTATTTACCTTCAATGTTATCATCATCTTTTAATTCCATATAATCGAGAAAACAATTCGTTGAATGAGTATAATGTCTACTAAATGGTTGTAAGCTAAATTGCCTATGCATAAATATTACTGCATATCCAACTTTAAGGAAATATGTGTTTATGACATCAAAATTTTTTTTTAATTTTTTTTTCTTGTTAAAGAACAAAAATGAAAATGATTCTTTTTTTTTGTCTTAAAAGAGAAAAAAAAAAATTACTAAAAAGGATATTCAGCTGAAGTAGCTCCTCGAGTTCCCGCACTAAAATTATCCAAAAATCTTACAGTATTGTTCTCGATTGGTACAGTAGTACCTCCGCTCTATGAATAAAATTGTTTGAAAGGTTTTAAAAAAAAAAAATAAATACATTATAAGTAAATTTAATTATTTTATTACCGTGATTAAAACAATTCTTCTACCAGCATTATCATGTTTATTTACGAATTCTTTGACTTTAATTTCATTATCAGGTAATGTACGAGGTTGCGAATTAATTTGAAAGTACGTGTCAGGATTAATTATTTCATTCGTACCCTCAAGTATATTTGACATGGTCATTTTTATAAAAAATCGGTTGAAAAAAAAAAAAGAAATTATATAAGCAAATCAAATTTAGTATGGTTTCACGAGGTCCATCGTAATAAAAAAACCCATTTAAATACGAGCGAAAATACAATATACAGTAGCTAGAGCTTTCGTTCGGAGATAGAATTTCGAATATCAAACATAAATCACATGAAATTCAATGAAATCATTAAAAAAAAAAAAAAAAATATTCTAAATTCGTTTTTTAATGAACAAAAAAAAAAAATAAAATAACTGTGGCTTGGTTACTAGTGATGTGAATAAAGTATTTTTCTGAGATTGCCATATTAAAATATTTTTATTTTTCCATCGCAACATCTACATTTCAGTAAAGCATAAATTACAGATTGAGATTATTGAATTATTACAAGAAAATAAGCTATATTACTTAATTTTTTTTTATTTGATCTAATGTTTACCGCATTAAATTCTATATATATAATTCATTTCTTTCACATTACTCACTATCACTGTAGAATTTACGCACATTGATATCTAATACATATTGTTTTAGATCATTGATCCATGGTAAATGACTAGAACTGACAAGGTTATTGGGACCCCTATAGCTTTGCCAAGGATAAACATCGAATTTGTCAGATGGTACAACAAAATATAATTTGATGTCCCCACTCCGCACATAAGCTTTGATTTTCTCCAACCCTTTCACCTATAAAACCGCAAGTTAGCATCACAATATAAAATAACTAATAAAATATATACTATTTATGCTTTGTCTTACCTTTACACCATGAGCCGTTGATACAGTGGCTTGAAATAAATCCAAAGAGTTCTCGTTGCCGTTATAAACAAAAGGATCGGTTGTCTCAAAATATTCTTGATCAAGGCCTATTATAAGAATCTGTTCTTACATCATTTAGCGTATCAAAACCAATTGTAAGGTAGATTGTCCATTTTCTTATCCACTATCTTCGTTGATATCACTCCTTTAATAAGTCGCGAATTCTAAATGTCAGTCGTCCCCCTCTATAGTCACACCCTGTATAATCACATCATATAAATCCCCACATTTCGTAAGAACCAATATCTATTAATGCTAAATAAAAAACCCCTTTATAATCACAGTATTTTTATAGTCACACCCTTTCAGAACTAACACTTAATAACAATATATAAAAATCCCCCTATATAGTCACTTTTTATTATAATCACACTTTTTATTTTTGGTCCCGAGGGGTGTGACTATAAAGGGGGACGACAGTACCACCCTTTTGCAACTGTCTATGGCTCACTAAAACTGCTTTGAAGAAAATCACGAATGTTAGAATTTTGGTAGCGCTCATACGCATCGATCAAACTATCTGACACCAATGATGAGGCAAAACAGAATTTATATTTTCTAAAATCTGGTTCCACAATAATATGAATAAGTCTGCCACTGGCAGAGTCTTTTGACATTCCCTCCTCATTGACAGACCTCAAACATTTCACAAGATCAACTTCATTAATCAGTTTATCAAACTCCGTTTCACCATATAATTCATCTTTCCACTTCTTAAGAATTCGAGGTATTAGACCCCATCTTCCCATTAGCATCTCAAGTTTTTCACATGTAAATCTATCACATTTTCGTCTTTCATTTCCTTATATCGGACGTTCCAAAGTGTAGTTATTCATCATCATTCCAAATTGGCATATAATATTTGGTAATACCTTCTGATTTCCACATTGATTGATATAACTCTGCTTTTGGAGACGTCAACAGAATAACATAAGCACCACTTTTTTCAGGTTTCTGAGCTATCTACAATGTAATAGTTATTCTTGTTCAAAATTGAATCATAGAATTGGGTTATGCCACCAACTAGAACATTACCGTTTGGCATAAACTGATAGCATTGGTGGATATCTGAATCAGCTAGTTGCCAGACAATCGTAGCTTTTGGATAATGTAAATGAATATAATACAGAAGGTACAGCCCAAAATACGATTTTCCTATACCGGGTGTGCCTGTAATAATGCATCCAAATTTAGATATATCACGATTAAACGCCTTAATGAGTTCTTTATAGCAGTCTCGAATTAGGAGGAATGATCCTAATCTTTCGTCTCCCAGGAAAAAAAATTATCCGGTAAGCATAAAATTCCTATAAGGCCTTTGGATACAGCTGAATATCGAGATCAATGTCTTTTCTCTTACAAGCATATTTATTATGTTTAGAAGATATTCCAGGTCGAAGGTTGAAATCTAAATCTTGTTCTCCTTTAATTTCAAAGTATTCGAGAAGTTCAGAGTCAAATGGTTCATTTAGTTGGAAAATGATTTCCGCTCTATCAAGATTTTTCCAGAATTCAATGACTTTCTTTCGCAAATTTGCCTAAGCACATGAAATGGTCAAAAAGGTTAGCGCGTCACGTTTGTGGACCAATTATTATGACGCAAAGGCTTACCTTGATGTTCATCTAAATTGGGTTAGGGGACCAAAAAAGACAGAGCCGGTTAGCAAATATCAAAACGAGTTACGCGCCATGACCAATTAGTACGACGCAGAATTTTATGTTAAAGGGATACATACCAGAAGTCAATAATTCTCTTAAATAATCAACTTGCTCTTTATTGGTACAAGTAGGAATGATCTCCTCCGCTTCAGTTTTTTTAGATGGATTATTAGTGAATAAGACGCGTAAGGCTTTTCTTTCCTCTTGTGACAATTCAAGGCTTGCAATTGCTTTATATACTGACATAATTACTAAATAAAACGTGATGTACTGAATGAATATAACAATACAATCCGATTTTCTAGAGATTTATATATGATTTAAATTTAAGCTTTTATAAACTTTTTATCATAGACTATATTATGACATAATTTGATTCATTATCAATATGCATTACGCGTCCGATGATTCAATTGATTATAAGTCTCAAACCCAACATCTAAAATAAATATAATTTTTTACGATTCTCCTGATTTTATTGTTCCGATCCACATACATCATGTAAACTTTATACCCAAGGCCTCACCTTTTTATATGATTTGTAGTAGGTCTAAGAACCGATTGGGAGAAAATTGCGGTATCTAAATAATTGTATTGCGTACGGACAACCCCCACCTAATTAACAAAAATGGATAAACGAAAACTCAAAATCTTCCACGGGTAAAGGCCCCGCATAAATGATTTTTAGGCCCTAAAATGGCTCGATGGATTTTATTAAAGTCGTATAATCCTAACAGCATTAACACCGCAGATGTTCGTTTGGAAATCGGCATATGAACAAACAAACTAAATCTTGTAATACGACAAATAACAGGTTTTTGATGAAATTGGAAAATTTTAATTTATTTCCAAATTTTTGTTGTTCAATAAATAATAACAATAACATAATAACAACGACAATAATAATATTTTGATTAAAAGACTTGTCTAACATTAACATTAATACGAGAGGTAGACATATAATCTCCGTAAGTTTTCCATTCGGAATCATTGTCATAGTAAGGGTCCAAATATTTAGGAAGAGTTCCTTCTAGGATTCGTGGAACACCTTGAAAAAAAAAAAAATTTATTATTTTTCCAAAAAGGAAAAAGAAAGAAAAGTTAATACAAACCATGAAAATTAGCTCTACAAGGACCACACATAATTGATATATCACCGCTGCGCAAGTACAATGCAATGGGTGCAGTATCTCTCGTTGATCCCCCAATTAAGAAAATGCATGTATGACCAAAACTAATTATCCAAATAAATGAAAGTTAACTAGATTTTCTTTTAAAAAAGATTATACAAATTATCCTTACATACCTAAAAGAGATTAAAGGAGCCTCCATATTTATTTCACTTTTATCAACATGAGCCATTAAATTATCTTTAAGTTGATAGTAATTAACAACGCCAGCTTCAGGCTTCCATTTTTTATAATCGTAATCATTAATGAAATATTGTTCATCATTTTCTTTTTTTTCACTTGTTATAAATTTCACACCATAAATTGATTTTATTACAAAAGTTGTTAATGATTCAATATCTTTGGGAAATGAATACCTCTTATCTAAATGATAAGTCTTTGTTGGCCAATGATATTGATAACCTAACGTAATCCACCTTATTTTTTTGATTAATTGTGAAGCTGTTAATATTGGTACACCTGATGATGGTGGTGGTTCGAGCTTTTCTTCCTCATCCTTCGTCTCTTGTTTCGCCGTCTTTTCCCCTTTTTCTTGCTCAGTTAACCTTTTTTTTGAACAAGGAATGCATTGTTCTTCTTGTTCTTCGTATAAAGAACCATCATTATTTGGTTCAATCACAGATGCTTTTAAAGGAATAAAATCTTGTGAATGGTTTTCATTTAATTCACTATTAACTATGTTTTCATGCAAATTCCATAAACCTTCTTTTGGTAATAAATAATGAGTATCAAGGTTGCTTTTATTTGGATCTTTCGCGAAATCTTTTAGACATCTTTTAATTATGTGTTTTTGTGCTTTAGATGTAAAAGGATTAGGAATAAATATAAATCCTAATTCAAAAAACAAATTATAAATAAATATATATTTTTATCTTAATACAAAGGAGGAAATACTATGTGTAAATGAATTCCTTTTTACCTGGTAAATCTTTAATTAAATAAGCGGTCTTTCTTCCACCTTTAATGATGTTCTTTTCTTCTTCTTTTAATTCTTTATAATCGCCAAATAAGTTTTCTCTTTCCTCATTTTCACCTAATTCAGCTTTTAATTCAATTTTTATGATTTTCTTCTTAAGTTCGTCATTACAATGATCTAAATTATAAAAATCTATTACGTTAGAGAAATCTGGCGGTGGTAAACGCGACTTAAAATTTCTTTCAGCGTCTCTAAATGGGGTTTGAGTCGTATAAGTAGAAGGTTTCAACCTTGATTGTTTTTTTGCCAACTTTTGTTGTCTGTTAGATCTATATTGCGTTGAAATCATCGTAAACTAATTTTTTTTTTTTTTTTTGTCGGGAAAATAATATATATTTGATCAAGTTACACGCGAATCTCGTGTGAATGTCTGTCGATCATCGAATAATTTGAATAAACGAAAATCGTTTAACGATTATCGAAAATCATTTTATCGTTCTTATTCACTTTACTTAATCCTTTTCCGTTCCAAAAAGGAAATAAAATATAGTTGGAATTTTTTTTTTTAAAAAAAAAACCCTTCGCACCTTCGGACCCGAAGAGAGAAAGAAACGTTCCTAGAGAAAAACTTTCGCGAAACTTATTGATTCAATATAGAGATTCATTGTCGATCCTATAAATAATATCGATATTTTTGAATCTTTTTTTTTTGATTAGTAATGTACCGTATCATAAATTTTAATAATTACCTCACTTTTACGCGTTTAGTATCAAGTTTTTTTCAAAAAAAAAAAACCGAAAATGTGTAAATTGAAATGTTGTGTTACATTACCGATTTCTATCAGGAAACATACCATGTTTTAAGATCAGAGCATCAATGACAGAACATCAGAGTAGATACTTTATACGAGTCAATTATAATTTGTTAAAACGACTGATTGATATTTTTAATGATATTTTAATAAGTATTCTTAAATGACATTATATTACAAATCACGACTGATTTTTTAATTTCCGCAGCAAATCTGACTCTCTAGATACGACAATTCAATAGTATAATTTGATTTTGATTTAAGAGTAAAAAATTCAAACTCCTTGGGTTGAATTGGATTAAATATCGCGGTTTAATTAATAACTACCATTACTTCATCATCGGCAAATAGACATTTGACGAGCATACGACTTGATAGTTGAAACAACGTCCATAAAGTTTAATAAAGTTCAACATATAAATACGAGATTTCTCCTCTTAACTCTCAGTTTCTTAAAAAAAAAGGAGCTTCTGATCCACTTAAAAAAGTTCCGCGTTCTTCCTTTTTCCCTTTGTACAAACTCCACGCACCCTCTCATATAGGAAGTCTTTGCCGCTATATACTTGAACTCCTATTAAACACTTTAAAATACTTAAAAAACATCCGTTTAATAAAAGTAGCAGATATGTCTACGACAACGGAAGGAAATAATTTATACGCTTTGGAGGACCAAAAACAGAAACAAGAAGGTTCTCAGCAACACGAAACTGCGGTTCAGATAGAAAATTTTTCTACTGCGCCACCCTCGACAAGCTTAACGCAAGGGACTACTTATGCACTCGTTCCTACTTCCTTTACAGGAACCACGTCTCAACCAGTGCCCTCCGTAAAGCAAAAAAAGAAAACAAGTAAAAAACGCTTGTGGTAAGTAAAAATTCTTGATATGACCGTTTATTTTAGTATAAATATTATTTATGAGGGGTCAGGAACTTATGGCAAGTTCTATCATCGATTCATCCTAAATCGTGAGATGCAAATTAAACGTGTTTATTCATTATCAAATAAAATAAAAAATTTTTTTTTGGTCGATAAAAAAAAAAAAAGGAAAAATCGATAGCTTTGGAATGTGTCACATGAGACACAATTATTAATTTTACGTTAAATTTCTTTGATTATATATAGTTAACTGCCAAAAAGCGTGCAAGAAATGTGACGATGGAAGGCCCTGCCAACGATGTATTAAGTATGAACTTACTGCAACGTGCAAGGATTCGATTCGAAAAGAGAGAAAGAAAGGTGTGAAAAGAGGTCCTTATAAGCGTCGTACACAGCAAAAAGGTAAAAAATATATATATATTTATTATAATATAAAATATTCTTTATTTTTTTTAAATATTTTATTATTGATAAATAAAAAATTATAAAAAATTATTTAATAGCGCAAGATGTCAAAAATTCGATCATTTCAACAAGTACTCCTGATATCCCTGCCCCCGCACTTGTACCCGTCTCTAATACTGAAGGAAAAGTCGACGGTCAAGCTGCCATTCCTATACCCAAAAATTTACCGATAAACCTTTCACAAATTACTGGAACCCAAGTACCTATCACATTGACAACATCCGATGGTGTTGGGCAATTTGTAATCATTCCTCAAAGTTCAGGAGGCGTACCATATTACATTCTTATGCCAGTACAAAGACAAAATCAAACTTCTACTCCTGCTACTAGTATTTGTGCTAGTACGGATTCTTCAACTGGGTCGTCGGTTCAAGACTTGCCAATTAAGATCGAACTTAGGTTTCAACCAGAAAAATCCGAAAAGTTACTTTCGGAAGAAGAGTCGCAAAAGTCCAAATTGACTGCGACGAGTGTAACCAAGGATGCAAATTCGGAAATTATTCCGAATAAAGAAAGAGAAGATAAAGATAAATCGAATTTATCGGTTCTTTCTCTTGTATGTAGTGATTTATTGGATAAAGATACTGTTTCTAATGAACTAGCAAATAAGGAAATGCCCGAAAATTTTCAAGATGGGAAATCAACTAAACAGAATATTAATACATCTGTTAGTTGGAATTTAGTAAACAATAATAAGCAAGAAGTCGTTTCTCCAAGGTCCAACGATATGAAGATACCTGATTCGGTTAAAAATCAAGTTAGAGAAGAAAATTTGGACGACAAGTCGTCAAAGGCATCGGGAAAAGCAGCATGTTGCGGGGAATCTCAAGCTATGGATGCTCCCCGAGTTAATAATCCTCCATCATTTGAGACACCTTCCGTTGGAAGCCCTTTGCTATTTTCAATCCCTGCTAATACTTATCCTGTTGCTCCGGCTGAATATATGTCAATAAAGAGAGAATCTTCAATTGATAATATTCGTAATGTGAAACGAGCGAAATACCAACATGAAGGTTTCACATTACCTCAACATGGTGCTTCATTTTCTCAAAATCAAATACCAATGCAACAACCATATTATGGAATACCACCATTTATTACACTACCACATTCTGTCACAAATCCATCTAATACTTATATGGCACAGAATCCATCATCACCCTTTTATCAATGGAGATATAACGGTCAGCAATTGCCGCAGCAACTTACACCAACTTCTTTATCGTTCGCTTTTAATCCTGGGATGACTAACGTCAACGCGCCCCAGTCGCATCATCAAGGTTATGCAAATATTTCTGCTCCACCAAGCTCGGATGTACCTTCTCAAATTCAAAAAAACTATTCAAACTATTAATGTTTATAGTTTTTATCATAGTGTACTGTCAACATATATCAATTTATTTTATTTTATTTTTTTTTTTTTTTCGCAAATTTTTATGCATGAATTATATTTTTAATTGCTTTACTACTTAATATAAACAGAATTTTAAATTCTCATGTAATAATATACTTAATAAATATTCCGTAAAGTTAAATTTTCCCAGCTGATTACTGTGCCGCATTTTAAATTCAATTTTGTACAAAAAAATTTTTTTTTGTATCGTGTTTTCGGAATCGATCAATGAAATATTCAAATAAAATAAGAATCTGATAATTTCATAATTACTTTTTTGATTCTACAAATAGATCATTAACTCGTTAAATATGTGAAGTTTGCCCTGAAATTTATAGATAAAAGCAAAGCAGTAGAGGTTTATTTTTAACCACGTGTATGTGGAATCGTAGTGGGCAACTAAGTTTGCGGTGTGACATAACGATAATAATTTTACTATGATAAATTTTTTTTTATGCGAAATTAAAATTAATTATTTAGCTGTGGAAGTCAGTGATGGCATTTTTAAATGACCTTTGGTCATTTTGACTTGAAATTTATAATAAAAATGATGTCATTTGAGGTCATTTAAGGTCATTTGCCAACACTGGTGGTAATGTTGTGGGCGAAACCTATGAGTTTCGCCAAAGGTCGATTCCGAAACTTGGCGAAACTAGTTTCGCCAAAATCCTTCAAATTCCGAAACCTCCGAAACTTCCGAAATTGACGAAACTTATCGAAACTGGCGAAACTCATCGAAATATTTTTATTGGTTATATTAATATATTAATTATTATAATTATTGTATAATTTTTTAAATCAAATTATATAAAGTATTTAATGTAAAAAAATTTTATTAAAACGAAAACTTATAAATGCATAGAAACAATCTACAAATAAGCTTCGACTGCTAAATTGGGGTCCCAATCTTCTTCTGCACTATCCGCTTCTATAGTATCATTTCCAACATCATTATCATCATTAGTTTCTTCTTCTAAATCTATATTTAAATCTTCAATAAGTTCATCAAGATCTTTCAAGATCTCCGGTGCATCAAGATTTAAAATTTGATCTAAATGAATTATATCTTCTCTATTATTATCACTACCTTCTGGTATATATATATCATCTATTTTTTCATCCGATTCTGCTTCAAGTTCATCATCTTCATACAAATTTGCATCATGCAAAATAGATTGTAATTCTTCATTAGTTTTTCCATTACCATAAGATGGCAGTTCTTTTTTTGCATTTGTAAGATAAAATGCGGCTAATTTTTGCATTTTTTCAACCTTTTCTAAACAAAGTCTAGTTCTACGCTTTCCATAAAACCATCCAAGAGATGACCATACTCTTTCACATGCAGCTGCATGTGGAGTTATTGAGAAAAGTTTTGTAGCAAGTTGAGCAATATGATTACGATCTTTTAGTAAAGCATCTTCCACACAATACCACCATATCATTGGAGAACTATTAGGTTCAAATTGTAAATCATAAGGTGCAATTCATTTTTTATATGCAGCTAATTGAGCCATTAATTCCTCTCGTTCTTTATTAGATTTTTCCATTTTTTCATAAAGATTGTCACCTGCCATAAGAATGCAATGGAAAATACCTTGTGTAAATACCTGACCTATTAAAATATATTAATATTAATATATTAATTACAAAAATATATAAAAATAATTTAAAATTTCTTACCACTAATACCTGGATATAAAAAAAAACATAGCAAATATACATCATCATCAAATTCACTAAAGCGTTGATTGAAAATTGTAATACAATCATATTGAAATGCTTGATGATTAATTTTAGGTAATTTTTTAATAGCTGCTCCTAATCATGCTAAACCTAAATAACAATCTGCTAAGGTACATGTTTGTAATTCAAGAGTAGCAATGCTTTTTTTAAGTGAATGTAAAGTAAAAGCCAATATACGACACTGATCAAAAAATGCATAACTTCGTAAAACACTTAATACTGCAGTAGAAAGTGTATCTGCATAGTTATAACGCATCTTTAAAATTAAATAAATATTAATTTAGTATTTTAATTTAATAAATTTAAAATTATAATATAAAATATTAAATTA